CTAACTAAATCTAACTTTGAAAATATATTTTTATTCCTAAGGTTCATATTAAAATCGTGAATATGAGGCAAAGGATAACGATCCGGTACAGTCACATTATTAAGTCTTCTAAAATCACCACAAGGACGCCAGTCATTAACTTCTTTCTTTGGTACTAAATGAAGTGGAGATGCCACGGATGAATTTGATGGTCTACAAATCCCTGTTTTTACCAAAAAATCGAATTCAGTTTTAGCTACTTTAAATTTGAGGGGATCTAAGCGCCTTGGCTTAGAAAAAGGAAGGTTTCCTTCAGTGACAAGTCTGTGAACCGTTGTATGCTTAACCGGTTTTGAGTAATCTGGCTCAGAAATAAGGGAAGGAAATTCCTTCAATAATTTTGTATATTGATCATCTACTGAAAAAATTTTCGGAAGAGGGACATTGCAAAAGTACGAAATTGTATTAACTGATAGATTTGTTAACGGATCTACTAAACACTTGTTTTTAATATCAATAAGAAGTCCATATTTACACAAAAAATCAGCTCCTATAATCGGCTTCGCAATATCAGCAATCAAAAATGTAAAAAGGAACTCACGCCTTAAACCCAAATTAATATTCAAAAGTTTCTTCCCGTATGTAAAAATAGTTGAGCCGTTAGCTGCCGTTAAAATTATATCTGAAGATTTCCTAGAATTCGAAAATTTAGAAACTGGAAGTACCGAAATTTCTGCTCCGCTATAAATTAAAAAATTTAGTTTGTTTGTTTTATCAAATATAAAAAGGCGACGTGTGGAAATGTCCAAATTCCCGTTGTTTGTCGCCGAAACAACGGACGACTTTAGTTTGTTGGACTATTATTTTTCGAAAATGCACATGGTTGTTCACATTTTTTAGCCTTGTTTCCAAATTTATAATGATATCTACATAACCAATTCGGATTGTCGCGTGATTTTGATCGATATCTAAAAGGGCTCCTAAAACGATTTCTATTCACTGAACGTGACCTTGAATAATTTTGATTCATTTCCCTCCTCATTTCACATAATTCCAAAGAAAGTTTTTCAAAATTTTTAAAAATAAGAGAAGTAGTGTTAACCAAATTAGCCATGACTGCATTTTCACCTTTTGAATTTTGAAAGTCATTAACTGAAGCTATCTCGCTTTTGCTAATAACCTCCCAAACATTATCAGCCAATTTCGTCAATTCACTAATATTGCTTGAATTAGAACTAGCTAAAATCACGCTTAGGTTCTTCGGTAACTTCCTCATCCAAAGTTTCTTAAGAATTTCTTGACTAAAATTGGAACCCGAAAGCAGTACAAGTGACCGATAAAATTCCGAGGGCTTACGATCACCCATTTCAGTATCCGATAAAATTTTGTCTAATTTCGCATTCTCACTTAATGAATGCCTTTCAATTAAAATTTTCTTAAGTGCAGTAAATTTATTATTTTCGGGCGGATTTTGAATAAAGTCTAAAATCGTTATTATAACTTCTTGCGGAAGTGCAGTAATTGTATGTTCATACTTTGTTGTTTCTTGTGTAATATTTTTGGTACTAAACTGCATTTCCGCATGAATAAACCACGCTTCCGGACAACTTGTCCAGAATTGTGGTAGTTTGACCGATGTAGCACAAATCTCATTACTATTTCGATCGACATACGGATTTGTTAACTGTTCATTAAACGTACTATTTTGTAAATCAATAAGAGTTTCATTTAAATTATCTCGTGTAGGTGTATGTGTATCATGTTGTGGTGAACGAAACATTTTGATTATTTGAATTTGAGCAAATATCAAAAGACCTCAGAAAAGGGAAGTTTACAATTAAAAAATTAAATATTATATATGTAATATTTAATAAATAACAATTAAACTCTGTATTTAATTATTTTCAACAAAACTAGCGCTAAAGTTATACAATACAGCTCACCTATAAAACTAAGATTGTTGTTGATGTTAGCGCTACTGCTGTGGTCGCTGCTGATGCCGCTACTGCTGCGGGTGACTTCGATGCTCTAGCCTCGTTGCCTGTGTCCGCTTCTTCGTCTTCTTCCTCCTGCAGCAGCAATGGCAGTGATGTTGGAGGTGTTTTGTTTCGTTCTGTTAATGCGCTACTACCAGCTGGAACTTCTCCTATTACGCTCAAAGAGGAGAATTGAGCACCGCTCAAACTTTCCGGTTGCTGTTCTTGATCTTGAGAACGCTGCTGCTGCTGCTGGTTATGTGGTTGTTGTCGACTGGTTGATGCAATATCAGCACTTAAAATAGCTTCTCCAGTGACTGCTTCTAATGCAGATGCATCAATGATATCGGCAATTGTGCTAGTGTCATTGAATGCGCATTGGTGCGTTTGAAGCTGTTGCTGTTGTTGCTCTACTAATTGTGATTGCTGATCTTCAACAAAAGGCAATGGGGATATTGCTTTCTGATGTTGCGGCTGCTGTGATTCAAGTGGTGGTGATAACGGTGGTTGTTGTTGTTGTTGTTGTTGTAGCAGCATACAAGTTCCCCAAAGAGTGGTGGTAGTAGTGCGTGTTGGAATATGCCAGCTGCTCGCAATGGTGCTACTCTTTTTCACTGCTGACTATTGCGAAGCATTGCACTTCAACATTTTGGTGTAACATCTCATCATCTGTGGACTAGTACCGCGGAGCAACAAACCAAGTGTACAAAATCAGTATACCAACAACTTAATGTAATTTCTTATATTGCTCCTGGCAGGGTCGCCAATTGTAGCGTATTTAATTATAGAATTGTATTTTTTAAAAAATTTTATTTTTATATAAACTTAATTTTAATTTAACGTATTTTAAATTTCAAAGAAGAAAAAATTCTGAAGTAATCAAAAATTTTCTTTTTGATTTACATAAATTGAAAAAGAACTTAATTCAATAATTTCAAAAATAACAAAGTACAAAAATGAACAAAGTACAATAGTAAATAGTATTAACACTACACTTATGTTCCAGAAAATAAATCTTCCGTTACAAAACCGCTTGCAACGTTTTAATTTCTTCGCCAGAAATAAATGAAAGTGTACTACGCGAATTGCCGTCGGATATTAGCAGTGTCTGTAAGTAGTTTCACGTTTTATTTTAAGCTCTTGTTCTTAAATTAGTTCAAGTATTAATTTTTCCATTTTATATAAATATTTTCAGCGTATTCCGAATCCCCTGTCTCGAAAAAGAAAGCGAAATCCTGAATTGTGGAAACATAACATGCGAAAGTCTTCATGACCGTGGCTTGCCATTTGTGAACAGTAAAGGCGTGGAAAGGTCTAGAAGAGCTCTTGGTTCGGTTTGCGCTCAATCATGTTTTTATACATGTACAACCAAAATATCTCAAGAAGAAAGAATTCGTTGCCATTTCTGGAGCTTAAAAGCTTCAATTCAGCTTCAGTAAAAAAACAAAGCACGTAGTATTATAAAAACAATAGTACCTTAATATAGAAAGACCCTATCTAAATTTTGTGTTTATTTGCAAAGTGATTGAAAACTTACCAAAACTTTCAATTCTTTAGTTGCGAATTTCTTTAAAATGCTGTTTTCAATTGAGAACTATAATTAATTAAACTTAATGCAATTCAAAAACAACTACTACAGCATTTAATTAATTACAGTTCTCAATTGAAAACAGCATTTTAAAGAAATTCGCAACCAAAGAATTGAAAGTTTTGGTAAGTTTTCAATCACTTTGCAAATAAACAAAAAGTTTAGATAGCGTCTTTCTATATTAAGGTACTATTGTTTTTATAATACTACGTTCTGTTTTTTTTCTGAAGCTGAATTAAGTTCTTTTATTTACTAGATTTGCAAGAACTAGTTTCTATGTTTACTTTGATGTATTTTGGTGTTTAAATAAAACTGAAATTAAAATTCATATGATTTGTGTTATATTTTGCTAGTTATTTGTCGCATGTGTATGAATTGAACGCACCCATGTTGCCAACTGTAACATACGACAAAGTGTGAGTAAATAAATTAGCAATAAATGTTGAAGATTTTGTGTCATTTTTTTTTTATAATAAATTCCTATATTTCCTTAAGCTAGAAATAACATATAAAATTTTCAAAGAAATCTACCGTGACGTTTTCAAGAAAACAGACTTTTAAACTTCAATCGCGATTTCCCAAAAGTCGTCAAATGTAACATACGACAATCACCCAGCAAACATTGAAGTTAGTTATCGATTAGAGAATGATTGGAGAACTAGCAACATTCTCCAATCTCAAAGGTTAGAGAACGACTCGAAAAACTATCGAGAAGCATATCGATCTCAACAGAAATGGGACATAGTTCTCGAGTCGAGAAGATATTAATTCTCTAATCGAATTCTAATGTTGATCTCTAACGGGATTCGAATGGGAATTTCAAACTGCTGTTTTGCTTTATTATATAAAACGTTTTGTTTGCAAAATTTGTATTAAATGCATTCGCAATAAAATAATAATGAATTATTTGAGCTTAAAAATAATTTCTGATTCATTAATTTGGAATATTGCTTATTTATATTTATTTGAATTTGCGTTGTTTCTCTAATCGTTCTCGAATCGAATTCTAATGTAGTTCTCTAACTTCGTCATCGACTCGAGAACGATTAGAGTATTACCCTAGTTAAGTATCTAATGCAGAAATCCACATTTCTCTAACGTTAGAGACTGTGTTTGCTGGGCCTTTGTTCAAGCGACGATATGTCAAATATCGTCGTCTGGCGCGCAATTCCTCGTAAACGTCAAATGCAATACCACGTATGAGATGGCACTGAAAAAAATTAATTTTGGTTTTAATTGTTGCCTAAACCATAAATTTAATGGTGAATATATTATATTATAATAGAAACTCATATTTGGCAAGTTCAGTTCGTGATCTATTCAAAGGTTTTGAAGAAAATACCTTTTTTTGTTATTTTGGAAAACTTTCTGACTAAATTATACGTGGTATTGCATTTGACGTATACGAGATATGCTTATACATTGATGATGACATATACGTATGTATATTATCTTACCTTCCTTATCGGGTAAAGGATTTTTTTCATTAGTTTCAGTATGCTTCAAGTTTGATGGATTAAAAGCAGCTATTCCAGAAATTAAAGACTGCTGGGTCTTCTCGGCAGCCACATCTAAAACACAACCAATATGTCACAACTAAAACACAGGATTTTTTATAAAAAAAATACCTTCCGCAGTGGGGAGTACAATTTTTTCATGTGTGCTAGCGTTCTTTAGTTGTTCAGTGTTAAAGCCCTCAAGTTGACTTTTCAAGTTTTCAGCTACTTTAGGAAGGTCTTTAAGTGCGGGAGATGCCATTTTGGATCTGAAAAGAAATCGAGAACTTATTGTTTTATTTTCCACTAAATTAATTAAATGTGGTGTTCAAATATCTTTGAAAATGTGTGTTTGGTGGGTATAAGATACGCACAAACATATACCCAGCCAGCAAGAAAACGTACATTTTACGAACATTATGTTTTACGAGAGATTCTCGATCGGCGAAAAGTTAGGGAAAGGTTCGTAAACGATAAAACAAAAAAAGTTAAAGAAAGAGGCTTTTAGTAATTTGTCAGCACAAAAAAAAATGTTCATTCTGTTGGAAATTTTTCTTGAACCACAATATTTTATAATATATAATATTCGCATACGAATGCTTCTTCGATACGTTTAGGACTGTTCGTAGGCGCTTCTTCGAGAAAATATCGAGTTACGAGCTCGTTTACGATGATTTTGCTGGCTGGGTAATTAACCATTGAAAATCCATACAAACAAAATGTACAAATATACAAAATATATACAATCCACTACTTGTCAAATGCAGTGTTTAAAAAACTTAAGTAGAAGTAGCAAAAGCCATACAATTTTTGCTTCTCACTACTTCGACTTATTGTCTTATTGCTTGTGCTTAGTAGAGATGGGCGCGGGATAGCGGGACCCGCAGGACCCACGGTACTGATTTAAAATTGGCCGGGATGGGCGGTATCGGGAAGATTTGTAAAAATATGGCGGACGGGACCGAAATCCTTTCCCGACACTCCCGATAAAACCGCAACCCCCGCAAATTCACAAAATCTTCCTTAAAAACGATGTTTGAAAAATGCACTTTTAATGTTTTATTGAGGCGAAAAAGAAAAAAAATTATAGGAAGATGCCAGATCTTTCATTATTATTTAAAATTAATATGAAAGACATGAACATTTTTGTGAACCTTCGATCGGTTTGTAAACCTCGCCACACACGTTGAAATCTCAACCGCTCGTTTCAATTTGTTGTCCGTGTGTAGCCTGCTTTAGAGATAGATATTGGGACCCACGGGACCCGCGGTACAATTCTGAGAAATGTCGGGATGGGCGGTTTCGGGACTTAAAAATCGAATTTCGGGATGGGCGGGGTCGGGATTAAATATTTAGTCCCGTGCCCATCTCTAGTGCTTACGCTTCTCACACAAAACAACAGTCGCAGTCAAAGCACAAGCAGAATCGATTGCCGACAAAATGCGCAGTGCTTTTGGCAGTCGTTGGTTTGAAAATTTTCATTTTGATTTTGGTCAGCGGCACAAGTCGAAGTAAAAGCAATAGCTTTGCTTTTGCAAGTTGTCACCAGTCGCAGTCGAAAAATTAGAAATTCCTAGCTGTCCCAAGTGGGCAGTCAATTGATATTCTATCAGCCTAACCTAATATAAACGCACACCGTTTATATAGGCCCGTCGTATAATTTGTTTTTCTGCGTCACCCGAAATTGGATTACGTGCGGTTGCATTTGATTTCACTGAACGAAACGTCAAATCAAAATCCCACGGAAAACAAAAATTGGAAATTGAGTTAGCTTTTAGCATTACGTCAAAATGATGTGTTTGTTGTAATTCATACCAATGATAGTAGCATGGGCGTAGCCAGGTAGGGGCAGGGGGGTGCTCGAGCCCCCCTAACTTTCAAAATTTCCTTATATATATATAAAATAGTACCCTGAAATGCTAGCTTAATAGGGTCGAGCCTTAAAAATATGTTTTTTATTGCATTCCGAACGGCCTAACTTATCCCAATAGGCAACGGTTCGGTTTTCGTGCGATGCAGCGAAATGCTGCCACACTCGCACATGTATTATGATCAAATTTGCTTTTTTCTTTATGATGCCTTCGCGCTCAATTTGGCAATTCTTCGCCTCGCTGTCTATTGATTTGCATTAAAGTTTAATACCTTAAGCGCTTCTGTAATAGTGGCTGCATCGCTACTTGCTTCTAAGTTCACAAGATGTTGTACCGTAATATTTTTTAAAAGACTTCCTTTGTCCTTGGGAACATTTCAGGCTATATTTTTTCTAAGTCTTAACACTTTTAAGTAGCAAATTCCAAAATTTTTTGCCACTTTTCGTGCGGTTCCGCCTTTCCGCAGTGAATCTATTATTTACATTTACGGTTCCTGATTAACTATGTATTTACTGGAGATCACTTCTTCAATAAATTACAATATAGAAAAGAGTCATCTGACTTCCAACTAAGTAAAAGATAACTGTCAAATGCAAAACTGAGAGTGAGTGCAAAACTGTAACATCTGCCTTAATTTACATTTTTGTCTGCTGGTTTTTTTATTGTTGTTGTATTGACTTCAAATCATTATGAGAGAGGGAGTAGGGATGTACCAACAAGAATATACAGCAAAAGTATGAAGGTCGTTAGAACTTGGAAATATAGCGGTGGCTGAAACAAAAAGTGTTAAACCATGTTACAGTTTTGCTCGTCACTGTATATGTAAATTCAAAATTTTAAAGCGGGCTTTCTCGAGTTTTAGTTTTTAGAGTTATGACCTTATTGAAGTAAATGATATGTACATAAATAAAAAGTCAAATAAAAAATTTTAAAATCCATTTGAATTCACCCACGTTAAATATTGAAAATTTAAATAAATAACTTTTTAAATTTAAAACTCAATCGGATTCCTCCACGTCAATATTGAAATTTGTGTTCATCAAAATTTTCCATTTCATTATGAAATGATTACAAATGCCTTTTGATAGCATATTCCCTGTTTTTTAAGGTCTAACCACACCAAAGGCGTTGTAAGTATGCCACCAAAAGCATTTTCAACAAGGCATCTTTGTATTCGTTGCCACGGTTGCCACTGTTGGTTGTTTCCAACCAAACTCGGTTGTTTTTCTTTTTTTTCTAATTTGGTTGTTTGGTAGTTTTTTCTCTGGTTTCGTTGTTTTTTTTTTTAATTAGAAATTTGCACATTTTTTCTTTACGAAGATTACATGGTGCTACAAAAAGTCATGAAATACACGCGAAACAAAACCTAGTGTAGGTTGTAGATATGGTCTAGTACAACATGAAAATAGGTCCCGTATAGTTCCTGAACCCTCAATTTTTTTATACCAAAAAACCGTTATTTTCGTACTTGATACACTTATCTATTAATAGCTTAACTATTTTCCATCCGATTTTAAAAATCGAACAAGTTTTGAGAAGAGGGTTTATAGACCTTTAAAACGATGTATAACAATATATTGTTTGCTAGACTTAGCTTGTTGGGAGTTTTCATCGGCTAAATTTTAATGAGCACCTATTTTTCTTTATTTTTTGAACTTTGATCATCGCTAATTTCAAAAATTTCTATGAAAGTTGCCAAATATGTGGTATTTATCTAAAATAACATTTATTTTCGAATAAATTGATACCTCATCCAATGCCAAAATTGTCGAAGTTAAGCAATTTAAGCAAAAATGCGGCCTTACATATATGTGTGTATGTACCGGACGTGCAGATTTTTTTGAACAGTGTGGCTAAGGGGTTCATCAATATTTACTCAAAATTGATATATGTTCATATGTATACAATGGCTCTTAAGCAAAAAATTCATTTTTCAAAAAATTTTAGGAAAATGGGCGTGGCACCGCCCACTTATATCATATATGCGTATCTCAAAAACTACTTAACCGGTCTCGACCAAATTTGATATACACACTGAGCTTGGCCTCCCTAAGCACAGTGTGCTTTTGAAATCGGACAAAAACCATGTGGTCCACCCACATAACGGTAATTTCAAAAAACTCAAGGCTGGCTATATTTCAGGGGGAGTAATGTTTGTCCGATTTACTGTACCACTGCTATAAAAAAAAATAAATAAAAAGTATTAAATTAAATTACAAAACCATCTTAAAATACCTAATTTTTTATTTCCTTAAGGTCATAAATAACTAATTTAAGTAGTTACAAACGTAAACAAAAAATTTCGTAGATGCTAATACGTATAATTTACGTGTACATGTTTTTGTTTAAGTCTTTCAACAAAGAAAGAGACGCTGACCGGTTTCGACTACACGCCATTTGTCAAATTTTTTGACATTTGCAAAATTCCACTGCCTGATTTGGTCACCAAAGATTTTCTACACTTTGTCGAATTTCTGAGGAGTAAAAACTTCAGCGTCACAATCTCCCATTTTTTTCATATTTTATGTGTTGTACTTTTAAATAACATGTTCCTGCACACAAATTTATAATATCTTCAGTGCTATCCTCTGGACTATTTCTAATAAAATCCTGGAGTACGGGAACAGGCCAAACATATGGATTAAGTAAGCAAGTGTTGCCACATATCATATCTTATATGGAGAAAACGTTCATGACTTAGATAAATGGATATGGGCACAACGGGCAAATGTTTACAATGTGAATAAAGACACCAAAAATCTATACAAAAATCTGTATACCTTATCGGAAAGCTAAAAATTTGTACGCTGAACCCGTACAACCATTTTGACCACCGCAAATCTGTACCGTACGGAAAAATCCGTACTTCTGTCAGGGCTGCTCGACAACACTAAACGATAGAGCGTAGGAATACGTGTAAAGTGAGCGTCCACAATTGTGGTATGAAACATAAGTATGGACATCATAAGCAAACAGTGTGCACATGAACGAAAGACACAAGATCACGCGCTAAGGAAAAAAAGAAAAACGTTATTTTCGATCTGTTGAAATTTCGACGCCATCTTTGTTGTAAGAAGTAAACAACGAAGAGAACGAAGAAAACCGCGTAATTGTTCAACGCATGAATAATCATTTTTATTATGCAAATTCTTCTATAAATATGTCGTTGCGTTAAATTATTCTTTACCTTATGTGTACACACGTTGTCACAAGCGAAAATGAAGAAAATTGAAGTAAAAAGCCACCACAAAATTGTAAACAACGAACAAATGTAAACAAACGGCTAATGTCAAAATCTTCCTACTTTTTTCCTAAATGCGATTATAACGAGCTACTCTTATCGCGTGATCTTGTATTTTTGGTTCGTTCAGTGTGTACACTTCTAAAGCATATTTTTA